GTCAGAATTGAAACCTCTCCACTGTCCCGTCTGAACAGATCAGCTTGTGACATTTTAAAATAAAAATAAAAATAATTAAAATAAAATTTTGGCCTAAAAAACCATTGTTCGGGTTAGATACATAAAAAAGAAAAAAAAAAACTAAAATAAAGGGCAGTTTTGTTGCTGTTCCATGATTTTGAATACAGTTTAATTTGCTTTGAATCATAGGAGCACCAATGCAGACCATGTAGTCTATTTGTAGTGCAAATTAAAAAGAAAAAAAAACCGTTAAATGTTTGAGAAAATCTAAAACTTCACATGATAATGAGTGTAAAAGAAGAGATGCCTAGGGACATTGGGCCTCTCTGATGCCTCAGTATACTTCATATTGCCGCTTACATTCTTTTCTTCTAAAGGATCTGGGACACTATACCCTTCAGGGTTCTGAATGAATCAGACCACCTGCCCTAATCAGTGAGGTATTCCCCATAAAGAGATAAAGGAAAGTACCAAAGTCAAAGTCTTCATCCAAGTATTATTCCACTTCCTGATAGTTCCATGGCTCCTGACCTTATTTAGAACCCTATCCCCCACTCCCTCCATGATAGCTCTAGGGAAACCACCTTATCAATCTTGGGTCTTCCCTTCAGATGATTGATATGGATGCCCCATCAGCTCATGAGCTAAGAGAATTCCAACCTCATCATCATCTTCAACAATCCTAATTCTTTAATTATTTTAATAATTATAATATACTATATTTGGTTTCATCAAGATAAAATCATGAAAGAGTCACCTACTTTAATTAGCCAAGAGTATATGTTAACTCGGTCATCTTTAACACGCCTGAATTTTAAATATGATTAGTTATAATTGTTTATTCTATGTCTTTTCCTCATGATCACTTATTAAATAAAATATGCTAAGAATCCCTCAAATTGAAAATAAAAAATTAATTAATGAATAATTAATAATAAATAATCTTATGGTATATATTCTACTTCTATACTTGAAAATTATTGTCTAAAGTGCATGTATAGTGCACCAGCTTACATAGATTTATAAAATAAAATAAAAGTTACTTATCTACTATGTTACAATGGTCTTGACACCTCATTGCTGATTCATATATATATATATATAAGCTGCCACCGTCTGATTGGCTGGGATGTATGGAGGTTACATAATCCCTGATAACATTCTATCACAGACAATATTTTGAAAAGGCAAACAAATAACATTTTAATTAGGGTCTATACATTTTCATTGGAGACCTCTAGAGTCCGCAGTATGCCTGTAATTGGGTTGCATTTGGATTGGAATAATGGACTTTGATCGGATTTGGATTTAATCCAAATTCGTTTTACTGTCTTTTAATTAAAAAATAATTAATTTTTAATTTATAAATATATAATAATTTTTTATAAATATAAAATTTTAATTTTATTAATTTCAATATATGCATAATTATATATTAATGGAAATAATTATGCAGGGGTAAGGTTGGTGGGAACCTCGTGCACTTTTCATATATATATATATATGGATCCTAATTGGATGGTTTCAAACACCCACACCCAATTCGATTATTAATCAATTATTAAATGAATGCATGTTTTAACATTCAAATCTGAAGTAGCCACATCAGACACAAGATTGAATTTTGGACTTTCGAAGTTCATAGACAGTCCTACTCCAAAGTATATATACCCCGTTATCTGGGGGTAGGGGTGCCAATTTTTCACCCAACCCGCTCATTTAAATGGGTTGGGTTGGGTTGGATTGTTGATAACCATTGTGTCAATCATTCTAGACATAACTATTAATTTCTTAGTTTTTTTTAACTTTTTTCATTTGAATTAAATAATTTATAATTAATGCATTAATTTTTTATTAATTATTGACTAAATTTAGTTTTGTCTTGAATTAACACATTTCACCCAACATAAATCCAAATCAATTTGACCCGAGTTCAAGCCAATTCAACGCGGTCTGACCCGATCCAACATATATCGATCAGGGTTGACCCAAATCTGAAATAGACCCCGATCGGGATGGTTCGGTACCGCTTGCTCTACCCAATTAGGGTTGTCCGATCCAACTAGTATTCACACAGTCTGACCCAATCCGGTACATGTCGATCCGAGTTGACCCAGACCCGAAAATGGTTTTGCGTGTGATAGTTCAATGTCCAGATGCGTTGCCCGGTTTGGACTATCTAACTGACCAATATCAACGCACCCCGACCCGAATCTAGACCGACCTGATTTACATACGTTGACCCGCTTTTGGGTCAAACGATTCGGTCCCAAACCCGTGCACAAACCTGATATGGTCTGGTCCGACCGGACTGATCCAGGTCTAAATGGTTCAACCACCCTTGATGTGATTAGCTCGAAGATAATCCAATTAGATAGTTCAAGTTGGTTTGACCAATTTGAACCTAAGTGGTTCGGTCAAACCCAAAATCCGAACATAGTCAAATGGCTTCGCCGCTTGTGTAAAAATAATATGCATGTAATGTGATTTAAACATTCACCACTTGTGTAAATAGTAACAACAATTACCATCAAACTATGACCAACTTATTTATTAAGATAGAATTAGTTTAATTTTTAAGTCCATAAATATAAGATTAATGGATTTGGGCGGGTTAGATTGGGTTAAAACGGGTTTAAGTTGAATCCAACCCATTTAATTTTATATAACTGGATCATTAATGGGTTGGTGGATTAAATGGATCGGGCTAAAGCTCAACCCAAACCAAACCTAACCCAACCCGTCCAATTACCACCGCTATCTAGGGGTATGTAGTTTCCTTTTTACTTCAATAATATACCTTTAGTAATAGATACACACTAATTTTCAATATAGGATCAAAACATCACAGATCCAATTAACTGGGGTGATCCATGTTTGATCCAATTATAAATGGATAGGATTTGAAATCGCATTTTAACAAAGGGATATATACCATAATTATCCAATTAGTCTAGTAATGTTTGGCCAATAAACCGCATTTTTCCCATATTTGCATCGATCTGAATAATATAATAATAAATCCTATTTCAACTTTAAGTGAACACGCCTTGGACTCTCACACCACACATTCTTGAGGGACACTTCTACTTTATTCTTTGCTTTTTCCTCATTAATTTCTTGTTTGATAACATTACAATTATACCATGAACTTGGTCTTATCGAATGATTCTACGGAGTAAAATACTCTTCTGCATTTACTTATGCTCTTAAAAAATGGCATAGAGATACTTTTGCCACTGGTGCCTTGAATCCAACCTTTGTTCGGTTAAGTGCAATGCTKCTCTTTCTACCTCAATGGCAAAGCCTGGTTGAATTTTGCCACATGGACAAAGAACAATATGGAGAACCAATATGAACCCGTACAACTAAAAAAAATCTGTAAGGTTAGATCATCTGCCAGTTCGTCCCGTTTGGGAGGACCTTCGAAGATTGGATTAGCTGAACTTGATGGCTGTCACAAGTTGTATGACCAATAATAATGCCCCACGCCAGCCATAAAATGCATATAGCCCACAAGCGGTGTTTGACCCTCCTGAAAACCCATAAGCAGTGTTTGGTTGGTGCAAACCCAGATAGCCCAAATTTATTATCCTTCAGTCAAAATTCTGTGTTAGAAGCTTCTTTTAGTGGCTCTTTGAAATAGCTCAGATCGAAAGCATCTCAACCAAAGTTTCAGCCCTCTCAAACGGCTTTTGACTTTTTAAGGTAGGACCTATCCAAAAAGCATATAACACAAGCAACTTTGATTAAAAAAATCCAGAAACCAAAATTGATGATACCACAGCTATATTATATATTCACAAGGCTCTTCGCTGCTGAACACTGCCAAACGGGGCCTAAATAACCAGGACCACCATTGGGTAATGACCCTTCTACCTCAGATGTTACAGGCTTCAACCCATTTGTAAAAGTCTTGCTAAAGAGGGCTTACAAGCCTGTTTGATGTAATTTGCAAACAGAAAATTTAACCTCATAAAATATTAAAAAATAAGAAAATAAAAACTTTTAGAAAGAGCTCCAATGATTCAAAATACCATTTGCTTTAATTTTTCAATTCAGCAACAGTACGATTGTGATATAAGAGAATCTATATATGGTTGTTCTGGCCTCTGGGTCCATCTTCATGAATAGATCCCTCCTACCTACCTTACATATGGCCCATAAATTCCTATATTTGAATATTTAAACCTTCAATACGGACAGGACCTTCAAAGGGGATTGATTATCCATGAGAGAGAGAGAGAGAGGACCATTTCAACTGACCAGCTGAGCTACCAATAGACACAGCCAAACAGCCCAAGTTCCTTCAACTGGAATTGTTTAACCATGGGAATGAACTGATGCCACATCCCAAGTAGTGATTCACATGATTTCTACAACTACAATCAATTAAAATCCCCCTCAGTTTCTGCACAGTAATATAATAGCAACATCAGACGCGTAGGTATCCTAACTTTATGAGTAGGCTAGAAGTAGACCACCTACATTGAAGGCTGTGGTCCTATCACCAGAAATTTCTGTTTTATATCTAACAAGGATCAGCCTACATGTAAACAAGCTATATCATCTTTTCTACATTGCAGGGACTGAATGAAAACTCATTGGTGGTTATGTCAAATGCCATTCTTTTGCATTATCTGGTTTATAGAAGCAATCTGACCTTAAATGTTCTATCAATCTCATCTATCTCAGCAGATTGATCATTCAGGTAGCCAATGGTTGGTGGCTAATTCCCAGGTCTGGATTTAGGCATTATACCGTTAATGTGAATATATGGTTTTATTTGATATGGGTTTGAGACCAAAAATTGTATCCTAATTATTATGGATCTTTAAACCCAATGTGGAGTATAGCTACTGTCTTCATAAAGCATCTCCTCTAATGGGCACTGAAACAGTACTCGATTTCCTAGTGGTTCTCCGCCACTCACTAGTGGAGAAAAAGAAAACCATTTAAGACAAATAAAGTTTACAGAATTTAGGAATAGCACTCTTAAGAAATAAGCTCTGAAAGGCTAAAACAGAAACTTACTACATTCCCTTGAGATTAGGGATGGGTGAATGGAACATATATATACACACACAATCCCTCATTGGACTTTTCTTCACTATGTACAGGTTTTTTCATTCGTTTCTCTCCTATCTACTCTCACTAGTTTTCTCTTTGTGAGGCAAGCAACATGATAAGAAAAAATGGAGGAAGCAAAAAATGGAGGAAGCAAAAAATGGAAAAACCAAACTGTCATACGTCTTCAACGGCAATAGAAGTGATCGTCATCCTCAAGGTCTGAAACCCCTAGCATTGCCAGAGCTAAGTGACTCTGCATATCACTCTTCGTCTGTTGCAAGTGAGTATAACAATCAAGAATACAACCATTCCCAGCAAATGTGGGAGTGTTCCTGTTTGAGCAATAATTCTCATCCCCTCGCAATACTGCAATTGCCTGATCAATGCTTGGTCTCCTGGATTCTTCACTGTTGATACAGGCAGCAGCAGCTTGAACCATCCTGGTAACTTTAGTAGAATTATGTGGAGTTAGTTTTAGACGCGGATCAAGCAATTTATGCAATGCTCCTCTTCCTTCTTCTAAAAGTGGCTTTGCCTGCAAAGAATAATTAAACGCTTTACTTTCCTCTCCTTCAAGTAACTAGAATTCAAGATGTGTATACATTTCTGCTTCCACTAACAGTCAAAACTAGGATATATCCAAGGTATCAACAGTTCAGTCATTTAATGAGCGAATGCCATAGACATTGTAATAGACAATACAAATGCACACCAACTTTCAATTCCTTTCACCCATGTTGCATATTATAACCGCCAAGCCTGTCTAACAAAGTCTGTTCTCTCGACATCAAATTCTTCATTGTAATATTCATTATCTTGGAGGTATCAATTTCAAGAATCAAACTGACTCAATGTCTATAACCATCTAAGAAATGAAGTAGCAGTCGCACCATATATGCCACTAGGATATATATTCATTGCAAAATGGGTTGTCATCGGATCAGTGTGAGTCATGACCAAATACAGATCTCAGTTATCTGGATGCTAGAAGTATTTTGACAATACTAGAGGTAAGTTAACTAAATAGATGAGAATGAAAAACGACTTACCCACAAGACAAGGTTCTCATCTCCTGGTGGTCTTTTGGCCTCAATTGGCTTCCGGCCTGTAATCAGCTCAAGCAGGACCACTCCAAAAGCATATACATCAGTTTTATCCGAGACTTTCCCGTGTTGGAAATACTCAGGTGCCAAATAACTGTATATTACATTTCAATTTGAGAAAGAAAGAAGATATCAAATATCTAAATGGAAAAAAAAAAGAAGAAAAATGGGTAAAAGAATAGTTTTCCCTTCTTATTTAGTTTTGCTGGTTTTGTTTTTTATTTTTTGGTAATGTGTTTTTCTGTTAACTTACCCAAATGTTCCTTTGACAGTTTTACAGAGGAAAGGGACTGAGGGTGCAGGAGTCCATGTAGCTAACCCAAAATCACATAGCTGAAAAAACCGTTGACACTGTTAGATTAGAGAAATGCACATAAAAAAATTAATTCAGTAGATATTTGGGTGCAAATCTGTTGAACAAAGCCAACCAGCCCAGAAAGGAATCCAGAAAAGGTTGTTTTCTCACCTTGGGCGTTTTCTTGGAAGAAAGTAGGATGTTAGAAGGTTTAATGTCTCGGTGAACAACACATCTTTCAGTTCCATTATGTAGATAAGCAATGGCTTCTGCAACTCCGGTCGCAACTTTAAATCTTGCAGACCATTGAAGTGAGGGACCCTTTACTCCTCTCTTCTTCTCTGCAAATGGGTACTTGAAAAATCAATCAAATTGATCAAAACCAAAGCGAATTACCCACACAAGGACCCAGAAATATACCATGCAAATAATGCTCTAAGCTTCCTCCAGAAACATATCTGTACACCAAGAAAAGACCCTCTTCTGCATCAATACAGAAACCCACAAGGGGAACAACATTCCTATTATGGAGGGAGCTCGCAATCATCAATTCTCTGCAGAATGCCTTCGCAGACTCCTTATCTTCCTTGTCTAACCGCTTTATTGCAACCGCAGTTCTTCGAAAACCAACCCTACCTCTAAAGACACAGCTCAGAGCTCCTCTCCCCAGTATTCTGCCTACCGACACAAACAAAAACCCATTATAAGCCTGAACCCAAAACAATAATGGTTGAGAATAAAAGAGTACCCGCCATACCTTTACAGAAATCCCTTGTAGCGGACCGGATTTCACCATAACTGAATCTGACTAATGTCTCGGCCACCGGAGAGATGCTCCTCTCTAGAGACTCTATTCTTCTCCATTTCAAGTCTCGCGAACCAGATTCTGCTAACCCGGTATCCAAATTCAACATAAGAACAGTAGCAGCAGAAACAGTAGAATTCAAGCTCATTGCGTCAAGCTCCATCTGCGAGCCAAAGCTGAACCTGAAAGAAGAGTGGACTGATTGCGGCTCCGCACTAGTGAATTCAGGGCCAACCCCACCACTCCCGGCGAGTAGCCAGGCTTTGTTGTGCTCACCACCGTCTTCATTGTTCTTCTCTCCATGTCTCTCATCATTTCTTCGCCCACGTCTCCGCCTCAGAGGAAGAACACAGCCCAAACCAAGCTCCCAAATCATGTTTCTTCTGTAAACAGTCACTGTTTCCAGATCAATATCATCAAATCCATCATTTGTAATTAATGAAAACTTAGCCGCCTCGAACTTTGCATCATCATGGGCCTTGAGAGGGTCCGTGAGCGGGTCTACGGAGTCAATGCAACTACCTTGGGAGCAACCCATATCAAACTAATCTCAAATCTCGATGAGACACAGAACCCAGAAACCGAGAATAAAAAGAAAAGAGAAAGCAAGCACAGAAAGAAAAGGTGAGATGTGCCTTGCTTTGTGCGGGGAGAAGAGGATTTCCATAAAGAGAGAGAGTGATAGGGAGGGTAGCAACTAGAAATCCTTTAAATATTTTCGGATTTTTTTTTCTATAAAGACCGAGAAGAAGGTGAGAGTGAAAGCTGCAGTGACTGAATTCACATGACCCCAACCCAACCCAGATGGGAGAACGAATGAGAAGAGGAGATTCCGGTTGCCGGGCCCAAGAAGACAAAATGAACCCACATGCCTACAATTTTCCTTTTTCCCTTCACCAACAATTTCTCCAGCTAGCCATACATGATTAGTTGATTACATGAAACAGATTGATATATACCTTATAGCAAATCTTGGCCCAACCAAATTGAACCGGAACGGTTCTTTTATAACCCAAACTGGTTTTTCAAAAGCAACTCGGATAATCCACTTGGTGCCCGTTTGGGAGGGCTTTCATGCTGTGACTTCCAACATTACAGAGATGTTTGGGATTGATGCTGGTGCATCTGATGAGATTTTTGAAAAATCACTGATTTATGAGATCAGAGATTTTTTAGATAAATTGTTTGTTGGATACTATTATTGCCATGGCAGCCGATTTTTCAAAAACCGATTATAAATTTGTTTGGTAGTGATTATAAATAGTGATTTTGTGTTTACCAGAATTATCTCCCATATCTATGTCAAATGTTATGTCATTCAAAAATAATCTTGAAAGTAAGAATCATATTTTTTTTTGAGAAATTTTTTTATCAGCACTTTGCATTTTAGCTCAAGTGACAATTTAGTTCCCAAACTTTAAAATATGATAATATAATATAGGATATTTTGAAACACGACAATATTATTAACCAACTATTAAGTGGCATATGAAAAGATACAAATGCTCTTCAAATGTCATCTAATTTTTTTTATCAATCATCTGCTAAAATCAAAACCAACCCATCAAACGATGAACCATCATAAACGAGTCTATTTTCTAACAAGAACGTCAACGATTCTATCCTCTCGCCCACCCGCCACGGACACTTAACCCACCACCGTAGTCTCTATCATGGCTATCATCGTCCTCTCAAGTCGTACCTCCTCCGGTGCTATTGAAACCTAGTGGGCATAACTAGCTACCGTAGCCTAAATTTGCAAATGGGTGAGGTCTCTAGCCAAGGGAACATCCGGAGGTGTCATGGAAAAGTTGAGCTTGCACGAGGGTCCACGCAAGCAAAAAGCGGCTGCGCGTAGGGTGGTTGATCTTGGACAAGTGGTTCTGATCGAGAAGCTTAACAACAACATTATGAGGGTGGTTGATCTCCAAGCTAATCTTTTGAGATCCTTTACCAAATCAATTGAAGTTTCATCCAGTGGGGATTCAGGTGAGGTGAGACATTGAAATCGGACGGGAAGTTAAAGACACAAAAGAATTAGGCCCGGCTAGGAGCTAGAACCTTGGGCATACCACATCTATGCTGGGGATTTATTCAACACAATTCTTATTATAAAAAAAAAAAAAAGCAAGAATGATTTGGAGCAATCATCCAATGAGTGGGCCTGTCAGAAAAGATCGGGTTAGTGGTGTTTGTGACAGAGAGCTTAGGTTTTGTTTCATCTTCTCGAGGAAGAAAATGATGAACAGTGTGCTTTATTTTCAAGACTAATTTTAACATTTTCAAAAGTCTTAAATCGCACATGAGGTCATGTGATATGCATAACTAGACCTGTTCATGGGCCGGGTGGCTCGACGGGCTGGCCCGGCCCGGCCCGGCCCCCGGACGGGCTTGAACATGTTTATAGGCCTGCGGGCTTAAACTCGGGCCAAAAAGCCTGACCAGCAATAAATTCGATCCGGGCTTGGATTTTGTCAAAATAGCCCGGCCTGAGCCCAACCCGACCTGACCTAAAATTAGACTTAAAATGGGTTATGTGATTATGTCCATTTCAATAATTTTTTTGATTTAAGAATGTAAAGTTGTGTTTTAAAACGTAAAAGAAAAGGAAAAAAACCATATTGTAGGCCCATTGTTCATTTAAATAGGAAAAAAAAAACCATCTAAATTTTTAATTCTAATTTGAATAGAGAAAGTTGTAATTTTTTTTATTAGGTCAGGCTTCGGCTTTCGGGCTTTTTATCAGGGCCGGGCTCGGGCCCAATTTATAGGCCCGTTGATCGGGCCGGGCTCAGGCTCGGGCTCGGGCCTAGCGTATTTCCATTAATGATGAGTAAAAACCTGACTCGGCCCATAAACAGGTCTATACATAACTGACGGTCCATTAATGACAAATACTAGATTATCCCATTTCAAAAGTTTGGAGACCAAATTGTCAATCGAGCCACAGGGCAATGATCGAAAAATTTCTCCTTTTTTATTCCTCTTTTCACGTTTTCAGCCTGTTTTTAATAATTGATTTCTGACAGTTTACCCATTTCTCACAAATTGACCAACGAAAGAGTAATATAATCGGCGATTTTATAATCATGACCCCAAACACCACTTACATGAGCTGAAAAACTGGAAACGCCACGAAGCAATATTTGGTAAAACTCCGAAAAACTTACATGATCCGCAAAATCAACTTTCCTGTAAAACTGTCTCAAATAACTTCTCCAAAAGCTTCAGTCAACGGACTCTTCGAAGTTTTAGGGTTTTCCTGTTTCCCATCTGCTGTAAATCCAAATGGGTCTGATTTAGGCAACTGAAATTGAAATGGGCTAGACTAACTAAACAGAGTTGGTGACCTGTAACATTTGGTGGGTTGGGCTTGAACATGGAATTTGCTATGGCGCAATGAAAAGCTGTCTTGTTCACAGAAAAGGCTAAAAAGTTGGGTGACCCCCCAGCAGTTTCTACCCACAGCAACCTCTTCCAGTTTCCAAATTCCAACTCTCTTTCTTTCTTTCTTTCTTTATATATTCACACACAGGTGGGCTACGTGTACCGTCCTCATACGGTCAGCCTTGGAGCCCCATTAGTATGTCACTATGCCCAGTGGAATGACATAGGCCGTTTGATTGGAGGTGACCGTTGAACGGTATGTCACCATGTTCATTTCCTTACATGTGTGAAGTTTAGGTACAATGGCAAACTCCCTGGGGAGTGGGGACCACCTGGGATTTGGAATGATCCTCTAACGGGTAAAGGGATGTTTGGTTACTGTCACATTTCTATTCGCAGGGATGTCAATGGATCCGCTTCGGTGCGGGTTTGTTTGACCCGAATCCCCCCAAATGCCATTGTGAAGAAAAGTATGGAATCTGATCTGACCCAACCAAGACAAGCATTCCAATGCTGCAATGTCAACGGGTCGGGTATGGCGAACCCAACCATAACCCGATAGGTTGGATCAATGCGGGTTTACCACTTAACCCGATCCACTGACATCCTTACTATTCCAACTGGATAGGTTTCTTCTTCTTCTCCAATCCCTGACAAAAGTACGTAATTCTAGCAGGCATGTTCTGGTGAAGGTTTGATTCCAGAGACAAGCAAACCCCATAATTTAGGAGGGGCCCACCGGCCAGCAGCATCATGAAAAGATATGATTTGGGTGGCATACGTGTATCTTAATATCTCCAGGGTCCAGACGGGACCAGATCATGAGACTAGCTTATTTGGCATGAGATGCCATGCTTGACTGGTCGAGGACTAAAGTCCTGTTTGGGGACCGGTTTGTAACACAACCACCGTCCTGTATTGATGGATGTAGCACCAACTCCTGACATACCCTAAAATAAAAAATCTCTGGAACAGCTTAGAGGAATTAGAATTCCAGTCAGGCTCACGTGTAATCCAGCTTGAATTGACCCGCACTAAGCCAGATTGGTCCAAGCTGGTTCGACAAGTACTGGTTCGGTTGTAGAAGAGGGAGATTCTGTCTAAAACCTCAACTCAAGGACAGTCAAGATGCACAAAATGTAAGGGATGTAGGGAGCACCTTCTGATTGGGACCTTCTTGGGGATGTCCTTGGAGATGGCAATTGGAATCCTAGTAGGGCTATGGTCAAATTACCCAATTGGGCTGGGCATGTCCCACCAGAGGGAAGGTGGGTGGGGCCCTCTAAGGCTGTAGGACAGATCGAGTTGTCGGCATTCTCTGATCCGGAGAAGCATGATTCAAGGAGGGGGGTCACGTGGTCACCGGGAAGCTCGTAGATTTGTGGGAAAATCAAATCAAGGGAAATTGAAAAAACTAAAAAGAAATGAGATGAGATGAGTAAAGGCACATGATGTGTCTAACGCGATAAAATGGGCTAATAGCTCAATAATTGATTCACTTAAAGGCTTAAAGCAAACTTTATGGTGGGTTGGGAGATTGATAGATTATTGGGCTCTCTCTCTCTCTCTCTCTCTCTCTCTCAACCAAATAATGGGGAGCTTCTCAAATCTCAATAATTACTTAAATTTGCATTTATTTGATGCTTAGGATCCACTTCACTTACATCATAACCATGTGATATGGTGCCTTGCTTTTTCCTATACAAGACTTTACAAATCTTATATCGGTAATGGTGGTTTGAATATTGTATTTCTTTTTCTTCTAAATTTCCATAGGTACAGTTTCATTGAGTAGTTTCAACTTTCAATTCATTTTTACTTCATTCTATTAATAACATAAGATGTTTTTATCTTTTATAGTTTATACTATTCAATATCCGCCGATTACAATTCAAATGCGACTCGAGCCATTTCATGACCAGAGAGAGAGATGAATTGAGCGGAAACATCCAAGGGCGCATGACGTGAAGCAGTTAAACATGTACGGTAGTGGATCTAAAGCTAATGGGCCCTACACTATGTGATGCCAAATGAGAATCAATTGATAGTCTCAAGCTAATTATTTGGTATTTGCGGTGCAGGTAGCTTGTGAGATGGGATTGGATGGAAAAGGATGCCATGCATGGCCCAGGCCATGATAACGTTATACTTGGCATCGATCAAGTTGGTCACAGTCTGACTGTCTCCTCGGGAAAGTGTCAGGGCGTTGAGAGGGAAGAGGGGTTGAACTTATAACAGAATTATTAGGTCAGAAAATGCTCGATTCTAGGTTTCACAAATCGAGATATATAAGGCAAAAGAAAAGAGAAGAACCAGCTTCTTAGCTTATTGACAGTGTTTGCTCTCACAAAACCCAACAAAGTCTGAAT